GTCAAATTAAATTTGACTACATGTAAAATGGTCCATATACTGGAAAAACATCTTTATGATTACTACTCCGTCAGCCTGCCTGTTTGCTTCATTCCTATCCCCATTCTCAGAGGAAACAAATCTCAATGCCCAGTCATCCTTCCATTGTCTTGGGACTGCTAGCAACAGTTCAACTGCGATAAAACCACAAGATCACTACTGTGTAAACTCCCAGTAGCGACCATATACTCCTCCTGCATGCAACTCCCCTCCTACTTTTTCTACGGATCTAGCATTTTCCAATTTACTGTCTAACTCCTTCTATCACTGTTTGGCAAAGCTGTATGTACCTACTTTAAAAACCTCACAAGTCATTTCCTCCAGTCTCTTTACAGTCCTATTTCTTATACGAATTATTGCAAAGTATGATGACATTTTTCAGTATCAAGATGCCAGGAGCTATGTATAATCTTTGAGATACAGGAGAATCAAATGCTAACAGATATAGGCAGCACCTTTCTGATAATCAGTCTGAAGAGGCACTGAAGGTAATACTATCTAACAGTTTAGGTGGTCTAAAAGCAAGAACACTTTTATACTCTCTCCTCTATAAATGCATAAAAAGTCTTAGTCACTTGTTATAACCATACATCAGTGTGAGTCTTCTGATCCTTTTTTCTTCAGAATAAAGAAGTACAGTACTTCAATTTTAACTAAAGAAGCTTTCTGAGGGAAATGGGCACAGTAACTTATTTCGTTTTCCACAGAGTCAATTATATAGCTTCAATTTACCTTGCACCACAATCAGGCAATACTAGTTCTGTGCTCTCACTTCGGTCTAGCGCTAGGCTTTGAAATCTCAGGAGCTCAAGTCAAAAACTTAATCTAATTTCTTCTCTGTGGATATTTTTTCTCTCAACTATAAAGGTAACGTTAACACAATTACTAGTACACAACTCAAAACACAGCTCAAAGCTGCCATCTCTAGGTATTACATCCTACTACTCTTCACTCTGAATATTTTTTGTTTTCAAGAGACAATGTCTGAAAGGAAATATCAAAAGTTTATCCTTAAAAGTTCATTTAAGAACTTATTTCAAAAGGATGTACTTTTTCACTTGAAATTTCTTCAGCTTACATGATCAGCTCCTTTAGGTCTATATTATTTTTGACATTTGATATAATCACTAGTACAAATAACATTAGTTGATTATTTTATGAGAGGTGCTGTGTTCATTATTAGAGAATTCTAATTACTAATTAACATATGCCTTTGACAACAGCAAGAGGTTCTTCACACTTGTTTGTAGCTTTCATTAGTACTAACAAGAGTTGTACTTCCTCACTGAGATCAAAAAGATCTCTGAATTAAAACAGGTCTACTATATTTAATATTTTCTGGTAAAAGTATCTCTAAAATGGTTACACTTTAGTCCGGAATATCTCAAGAAAATATTAGCACTGTCAAATAAAAAGGTTAAATGATATTTTAAGACTTTATTCTGAACTGCTAAATGACACATCACTTGAATGTTTCCCAACTAAAAGGTCCACATTCTACAAGAACTGTAATAACCAAAGATACCGGTCAGAAAGATCTGACCTTTCAAAGAACAGATAATACATTAGTAATGAATCAGGGAACTGACGAGAAGAAAAGCAATTTTTGACTTGATGTTAGGGCATGCACAGAATCTAGTTCATATTCTGAAAAACACCTCTACAATACTAACCATGCCAGGCACAGACTCCAAGTCTCTGGAAGAGCAACAGATGCCAGGAAAAAACCAAAACAAACAAACAAAAAAATCCACCCACATCCACAATTCTGCTTCACTTCAGAAGGAGCACTGTATAAAAGGAAGACTGATCATAAAAAGAAACTAAAAGGTACAACTAAAAGAATAAAATATGTAATGACAATATGAAGACATTTTAAGGACATCTGCTCAGATCATATGAATGCTTCCTATTTAAAAAAAGATCCAAAATTCTCCATACAAATAACAAAATAAATAAAGCTTAACTTAATAAAGACTGTTAGAAGAAAAAGTATACTTTAAAATAAAAGCTGAAAAACTCCAGCAGATTAAAATGCAGAGACATATCAAGGCAAGCCATGAAACAGTTTAAGGAGCTGCTTGCAAAGCTATATATGCAAGTATTAATGCATGATTTTTCAAATGCATTTGAAATACAGCCAACTAGACAACTTGTGGTGCCAACAGCCAGTCTGAAAGAGTATTCTCAGAAGATAAAGCCATGTCAATAAAATGAAGTTAATTTTCCCATTTGAGTTCTTCATGGTAGACTGTGTGGCTGCCCCATCCCTGGAAGTGTTCAAGGCCAGGTTGGATGAGGCTTTGGGCAACCTGGTGTAGTGGAGGATTTCCCTGCCCATGGCAGGGGGGTTGGAACTAGATGATCTTTGAGGTCCCTTCCAACCCTAACCATTCTATGATTCTATGATTCTATGACTTTACAGGTATTTCCATAGTAGAAATCAATAATAGAAGGTTGCAGTGGGAAAAAAAAAAAAAAAAAACTGACAAAATAATGAGCAATAAGTCACCAGGATCAGTTCTGAAGGAATTTAAGAACAAAACAGCTGACCTCTGTTTGCAGTGTGTAACTCCTTCCTTCAAAATGTGTCAGTATCAAGAGACTGAAAAGCAACAGGTAGAAAGGACAGAATCCAGAAAACACATGGATAAGAGACAGACTGAGAAGTCTAGCAACATTCAAAAACATAAGTTATACCTTGCAAATCATTGGATTTTCCTGAAGGAATCAAAGGTTTGGCTGATACAGTTACCTGGAATTTCCAAAAGACACTTGATAACATTCCTCATGTCTTAAAGAAACTAAGCTTCCCTGGGACTAGATAACACAAGGGGAACAGATAACACAAGGGGAAACAATTTGATAAAGAAAATTTGGGGAAAAAAACACTCACTTCTAAAATAGAGGTCATTAGTGGTGTCCCACAGAGATGTCCTATGGGGATTTGTTTGTTCAACATACTCAAAAACAATCTGCCACAGGAATGAATGGAAAAATGACAATTTTTTTGACAATACTACGTCACTCAAAATAGCTGAGACAACGGTCAAAAGCAAAGAATTGCAGAAGAATCTCATAATACTGAATGTCTGATACATGGACAAATAAAAGAGTAAATAAAAACTCATGTAGATAAGCATGAAGTGATGCATATGAATAAAAAGCAATTTTAAGTCTGTACGTATGGTGGTGGGCTTTGAATTGACTGGAATAAGATCTTGAGGTTATAATCAATAGTTCTGTGAAAATATCAATTCAAAGCCAACAGCAGACTTTCGAAAAGCCAAAATACTGTTAAGAATTAATAGGAAAAAATTACACCATTAATATACCAAAGACTGTGATTCCTCCTGTCTCAGAAGGGCTATAACAGAGCCAGAAGAGGTAGAGGCAAGCGACACAGTGTTATTTCAGGTATGAAACAGCTTCTTTCTGGACCATTATTAAAACCCAAGGAATTTTCACCACGGAAAATAAATTACAGAGAGAGGACATGATGGACTTAAAAGAAAATCATGAGTGGTACAGAGAAAATAAAGGGAAAATAGTGTAAGAATTAGGGATTATCAAAATTAAACCAGCAAGTACCAGTTTCCCAAAAGGTTGTATTCTTCACAAAATACACTGGAATTCTTAGGCGCAGGATGGTATCAATGCTAAAACAAATATATGGTCTGAAAATGTGGGAAAAAAACTAAAACGCATGGATTCATAATCTTCCCACAAAAATACTACTCTATCTTAGAAGACGCCAGCTGCAGACAAGGACAGTATTCTGAGGAAGCTTCTCTATGTTCTTGTCATTTTTTCTTATGTTCTTCCTTAGGCATTCACTGTTATCCGTTATTCAAGACATGTTACCAGGCTCGATGAACACTCTGGTCTGACTTGATACAATCTTTTTCGTTCTTCTCTACTGGAAGTGTCTTGTGCAAACAACTGAAAATTCAGGACACAAATTCTGCATTTCTCTGTCACAGTTAACAAGTTTGCCATCATCTGCGTTCACTTTTGGTCCTTTATATTTTGGAGACATGACTAACACTAGACATAAATTAATGAATTAACAAAAGGTAATTATGAGGGTTTTTTTAATAAAGAACATTTCTATCTCTATATTCTATCAGTACAAAGAATCTTTTTTTTCTTTTTTAGTGAAATAAGCCTTTAAGAGTGCTTTCAACAAAGCAGCATGCAGACTACATAATATCTGTAGAAGCAAAACTGCCAGTAGTTCTGTTTATTTGAATTTACAGTAAAACAGTATTATAGAACGACAGTTTGTATTTTAATACAGCTCTGGTTCTGCACTAAGAATAACAAAACAAATAAAAACTTATTTCTTACTGTCACGGCCTTAATGGCCCTGACCAGCCTCATCCAAGGCTCTGCCATGGACCCTCAGTCCCTGACTGCTCGTGATCCTGCCTCCTGGATGGAGGTCTCCTGATGGACCATCAGGCATAGGTTGTAGTCTTCTGTCCAGTCCTGGCTCTAGTCATGTATCTTTTTCCTCCTGACTGGTCTCCCTGGACCTGGGTCATCGCTTGCCATGTCTGAGGCTGTCAAAGGACTCTGCTACTAGCACCTAGCTCTGCCTCGTGGGCTCAGCCCTTGGGGACGGTGCCTAGTCAGTGAGGGCACTGCCCACGTGGAGGTCACCCTTGGTTCCCAGCTCTCCTTCCATTACCACAACAATTCCAATTATATAAAGCCTCTTCTATTGGCAGGTTTAGCTCTGAGGGTTTATGATCAGCTAATAAGTGACTTAGATGTAGCGCACAATTTTTGGAAGAAGATTGTGCAATAGATCTAAGTACTGAAGACAACACTCATAAAATGGTTAGGGACTAGAAACTAAACTATCCTCAAAAATCTATGCTCACGATGAATCATTTTAAGATCACTAACAACACACGAAAGTAAATTAATTGAATGGGATGCTGAAGAGTCCAAACCTGATATAAAGCAAGAGTGTGTCCATATCTCTGGAGTGGCCCTTTGGATACAGGTACCACGTTCCATATACTGCTCTCCAAATTGTAGCTAGAAGAGAAATAGAAAAAGTAAACATTTTCTCCCCACAAAGAAATAGGAATTTTTAAAGTTTGAACTAACTTCTGTTCGACAAACTGCGCACACTCGACATCACTGTAGTTTATCTGACGTGGCAATTTGTTAGCAGCAGTAACACGATCACTTTTAACTGTTATGACAGCGTATTAACTATGGATAGTGTACTAAATGCTCCTCAACAAAAACACAAGCAGCTCATTCAGAGAGCCACCAACAATCTCAGAAAACAGGACTGTAATAAAAATCACCATAATTGCAAGAAAGTTATGGAACTATATTGCTAAGCTCACTGTTATCGGTCACATCAAAAAAAACACTGAACTGCTTATGCCACAATCTTTTGCATTACTTTGAAAACTTATCGTTGAGTTGTACAGTTGATCTTAACTTCCATTAGATTTTAACTAACAATTAATCGATGCACAGATTAAAACACAACAAGATGGAAGAGTGGTAAAAAAATAAGCAGAGAGAGATAGAAAAGGAAATCACCAAAGATGATGAGACTTGTTCTGGATGATTGCAAAGGCGTGGAAGAAAAGAGGTAGACAAAAATAGAATAAACATGTTCATAAACACATCCTAATACTTACATTTACCACATTTAGGGCCTTTACATATATACAGGTCACCATACAAACTGTCATAAATATGAAGAAGTGAAATATGGATGACCTGTCTAATCCCACCGGCAGGGCACCAACAGGCTAAGTGCATGCATTAAATACCAGTCTCCTATAATTATAAATTAACTTCAATAATGCAAATAGCATTCTAGATGTATTATCTGAAAAATATCAACACATGGATTTCTTTTACTGTTTTATCACTACAAACATTTCTATGTTTTGCAGCAAAGTACAGCAATGGTTTACACAAAACTGGAGAAATTACACATTAGCATCACATATAGACCGATGTTACCTATATTTTAACTGGTTTTAAGCATAAGAAAGTTACAAGCAGAAAATAACACCGTTAATATAAAAAAAAAGTCTAAAAACATATAAAACTTCCAGTTAAACAGCAGAATAGAGGATATGTCGCTGATAAGATCTGTTTTCCCTAAGCCATGTCAGAGGGAATATGACAAAGGAGAAATCACTTACTTCAACACCATTTGGAATGAACTGTAGTTAAAAGCGTATCCACCAATCACCCACATAAATTTCCCGTGCAGGACCGCCTTATGGGAAGCCCGGCCCACAGAAGGGCTGAATGGCTTTACGTTTGGTAGAATCCAGTAAGACTCCGTGGAAGGGACATTCAAAGAACAATCTGGACCTGTTTTGTAAACAAATGTGCAATTTGTACAATCTGTTAGACAGGGATGTTACAGCCAATAAAGCAGAAACAGGGGAGGCTTAATTACAGACGTCAGGATTGCTCATTCTGATAAAATACAGTATACACTTCTATGTTTAACAGATGCTCAGTGAAAAAAAACCTGACAACAAGAGATGTCAGTCAAATTGAAAGCGTTAGATTAGTTCAAATAATAATGATACATTTCCGCATTCTCCTCAGAAAACACACCCTGAGTCACAAATTGAAAGAAAGGCATAATGCATCATATTTTCAGATACTGTATAGGTCCAAAACGCATAGCACAGCATACACTGCATGTTACCTCTGGAGAAAAACTATACTGCATTTGAACTAACCAGAGTAAGCTTATATCAAAGAAAAAAAATACTACAATAAATTAAGTTAAAATATAGATTATACTATACTAAATGTCAACAATCAACATTTTTCCCTTTGCCAATGCTGTTGTTCTGCACTGTATTTCAAGAGTAAAATACACTGTAAAGTGTATTTATAAAAGGAATTATTTGAATATTTACATTTTATAAAATTTCATAGATTATTCTATAAAGTTACCAAAACCCACGACTATATATTATTTTGGAATATATTTTAGTCAATTGTTTTTGCTAAATAAGGTAAAGCCAGAGTTTTCAGAGTTTTATTATTATTAAAATCATGAATAGCAGAAATATTTTTCATTTGTTCTGCAACAATCAAAAATGTAACCTCTTCATCATTAGTTTAGGCTCTAGATATTGGAAGAACTTTGAAATCTTGTTATTTAAAACCTGAATACATTCGGAACTTTGCTTAACAACAAAAAGACAGCACATGCACTATTTGCCTCTTGTCAGTGACTGACAAGCATTACCAACTGGCTTTATTTCTAGATGAAAAACACTGAATTTTTAGGACATCAACGTGTTCTACTTTAAGCAGTACCAATCACGGAACTGAAATTTTTATCATCAGTGATGGCATACAGATATTGTATGACAGCTAATTTACTTCAGGAATTTGATGCGGATCCTATAAGCAATATCATGTCCCTCTCAACCTGCCTCACTGAGGTAAATCATTCTCTCAAGCTACTGGATATCACTAAAAACCAAAGCTGTTGAAATCAGACTAGGCATAACATTCTTTGAAAACTCAGTGATAACATGCTAAAAAAAAAAAAAAAAAAAAAAACAACGAAGAGCAAAAAGCAAAGAAACAACAACACCACAATCTAGTCTAGTTCCAGGGAGGATCTGCTATGCTTCTGTTTCTACCAGACAAATCAGCAGAAACTGTAAGAATGAACAGAATTAGTCGATACATAGATAATTGCCATCTACGTGTAAAAATCAGTATAGCCTCGTAAAGAGAAGGCCTGTCTTCCAAATCCATTAAAGTTCTTTGAAGGTATCAATTCGGCGTGATTCAATTGACACACTGACATGGATTTTCATGGCTTTTAACGAAATTCCTCACCAAAGACTTTTAAGGAAACTTGACTGTTGTAGCAAGAGGATGAACGTCTTTGCATGGCTAAACAATCAACTGTGAACAGAAATAGCAGACAGGAGTAAGTGGCCGCTTCTTACAGGGAGGGAAGTTCCCCGTGGAGTCCCGCAAGGATTTCTGCGGGTAACCAAGGCATTCAACACACGCATCAATGATCCCAAAAGAGGATGAGCAGTGAAGAAACTTTGCTGTTAAAGGCAATTAATGGAGGGCAAAAAAAAAAAAAAAAAATCAGATCAGCCTTTAAAGAACCACAGAACAAGTTCTTGTCTCACCATGTGATTAAGCAATAAAATTACACATGAAACTCTACACACACAAATGTAAGACTATAAAAGCTACGTTCTAGCTTGACTAAAAAGATGATAGCCTCTCAGCTAACCATTACTAGTTAGTAGCAAAGTCTCAGCTTAAGATAATTCATGAGAACATCACCTCAACACTCAGAAATGGTCAAAAAAACAAATCAGATGTTATGAACAGGGAACACCATTACCTCACTGTATAAATTAGTGGTTTGCCCACACTTACTAAACTGTGCCCCCTGCTCAAAAAACAAATAAACAAAAAAACAGCTGGAGACTTTACAGAGAAGTAACAAGGATGCTAATAGAATGGCTTCTCTAAACGGAACGACTGAGTTAGTTGGGACTTTTGCACTTAGAAAAAAAGAAAATTTGGAAGTTAACGATAAATGTCTATAAAACAAGTAGTGACACAGAGAGGGCAGATATGAAGAGCCTACAGTCTCTTCAAATGTAAAAAAAACTTAGATTCATGAAACGCAGCTTGAAGAAGTCACGTTTAAAACAAATAGAAGGAGGTAGTTCTTCATGCAACAAGTATCAGACTTGCTTGGCAAGGAACTCTGACTTCACACTAAGTCAAGGAGAGACTGGAAAAGCATTTATAAAGTTTACTAAACAAATTAAGTAAGAAATGCACATCAAGAACTTAATTTTAAAACATATTATCCTTAGGGGGAAAGAAAAAAGGTTACATTTTTCCAACATGTATTTTCATTTTTCGGCAACTCGTCACAATTACTTCTTATACCCAATGACAAGGCAGATGACTTGTACCTAACCAGTTGTCAACTTTTCCTAGTACTCCATAGAATGATGTCCACTTGTATCCAAATCACTTTCTGTTCATTAAATGATGGAGACACTCAATTCCCATTGTTCATTATACCTTCTACCCAGAAAAGATTAATGGTATTTGAATGAGGTCTAATGAGAGTATGAACAATTCAGTATATTATTACTTAAGCATTAATAATAGAACCTGTAATAGAACTGCAACCTCAGCAAGAGTCTGATTTGGTAAAACACTGCAGGTTTCGAAACACTTAATTTGAATATAAAAGTGCTCAAAAATAAGCAATTGATTAAGTATTCTTTGATCAGGGAAGAGCTTAGACTATGAAATCAGTGCCTGCTGTCAGAAAATGAACACACATTGATGTCGGTTTTTAGTCACCGTTCTTGCACCGACATGTAGTGGTCAACAGTGTCCCCTGGTGGCAAATGATGAATAAACCACACAAACTACTCGCACGCCAATTGATTTGAGATTTTCATTTCTGGAGGCAGGGAACAGCAAGAATTCATGTAACAAATCCGAAATATATTTAATGACATTGACTGCATTAAAATGAAAACAAGAAAAAACTTTGAACAGGAAGTTAAAGGAGCAAAAATCCTAAATATACTGTTGACCAGTTAGGCAACTGAAGGAATGTCAGAGAGAACTTTCTAACCGCCTCATTGCTGAATGACAGGACAGATAAGAAAGAAAGGAGAAAAACCATATACCCGGGTCCTGTTCTGGCATGAAAAAAGGACACATTCTAAGGAGACACACCTGAACTCAGGAGCTTGAAAGCAGCATGTCCTCCACTGTTTTCTTCAAAGAACAGATTAATAATTACCCTGTGCATGATGCACATGTCCATTTAAGTGGCATCAGTTGACACTGTCACCAGAAGAGGCACTTCTGGCCTCCCCTCACCGCTTAAGCTCCAGTTTGTATCACTACTGGCAACAGCTTTCACACGGCTGCACAACAAACCGGATGAGGGAATGCATCCAGGTTAAAACATGCTTTTATTTGTAGCCAGGCTAGCTTTTCATCTGGATGCATTCCCTTACACATTTCACCTTGCCCACATACACGTGGCTGTGCCAACACGAGTAAGGCCGCATGGCCAGGACTGCCTCTTCAGTAAGAGTCTAAAACATTGATGGAGTTATCACTTTATGTATCAATCAGCACAAAAACGGAACAGACAGCTGAAAAAAACAAAAGCAATAGAATAATACTGACTTCTACTGAAGCATCTTTTCAAGAGCAAATGCTTATGTGGGGCTATTGCCTTATAAAGGCAAGGTAAATGTAGGACTTACAAATATCATTTACAGATTTTCCTCTTTAAATAAATATACCATGAAACATCACCATTATTTCAGCATAAATACATTTTCTCTTCAGAAACATCACATTCACTAAATACATGCCTTTTGTGCAGAGAGCACTACAGCTGCAGAACAATTATAATGAAAAATACGTTTTATTATTTTCTATGCAAATGTGATTTTTGTCCATTTATTTAAAATTGGTTTTCTTTCTTGTCATCCTAATGTGTCACTCAATTCACTGGGGGAGGCAGGGGGTTGGGGGGGAAGCTTTAAAAGCAGCAAACACTTTATAAACCTGAATTGGAAGTCAATTACGTTATCCTCAAAGGTAGGAAAAAATTCTATAGGTTTTAAAAAAGCGATTTACCCACACAACACAAGAGAAGGAATCTAATTTCTATTTATCAAGGAGTTTCATGAACTGCCAAAGTAACAATCTGTTCCAGTAGTTCAAGTCATAAGATCAATTTCCACCTAATGAGAAAACATCATCTACTATCTTCAACCCTAATCTTTTCCTTTGGGATCACAGAAGAAAAAAAAAAAAAAAAAAGTATTGATGTGTTGAACATAAATGTCACAGTCCTGGTTTTCATACAATCTAATCAAAGCATTTAAATAAAGTATTTGTTGTTATTTATTCTGGGATTTTTTTTATATCTGATCATTGATAATTGTTGCTTTAACATAATAATTTTTAATCACCCCAAACATAAACCCAGTATTAATATTTTCAAGTATCAAATAAAATCTTCATATGATAATGAATTTGAGATCACGAAAAATATTTTTGAGAAGAGAGTATATCTGAAGATATTTTCAATAAAAACTCCATTGGAAGTTTTACCAAGCAATAAATCACCTTTCCTATAGGCAAATGATGAAGTAGTAACTACACAAAAATACAAAGTTGCTATGTAAATGAAAAGAGAAAAGTTGTTCAGGAACCGCTCACCAGTATTCTACTAGCAGGTGTATTCATGTATCCCTACGCTGCCACCGCACAGCTCTGCAACAACCATACGGCATGTAAATATTCCCCCC